TTAACTTAAGAACCACCTGTTTTTCCACAGTGACTATAGCATTTTACTATCCTACAAGCAATGCACAAAGGTTGCAATTCTTCATACTCTCACCAACACTTGGTATTTTCTTTTTTAAAATTATTATAACAATCCTACTGGCTGTGATTTTGATTTTGTGGTTTTGATTGGACATCCTTCGAATGACTAATAGTCATTATTGTATTTTTGTTTATCTTTCTGGGAGAAATGTCTACTTAAGTTCTTTTCCCACTTTTAATTGGATTGTTTAGTCTAGATATTAGCCCACCATCAGATATGTGATCTGTATATATTTTTTTCCGTTCTGTGTGTGTTGTCTTTTTTTCTCTGTGGCTAGTGTCTTCTGATGACAACTATTCAATTGTCACGAACTTCCATTTGTCCAGTTTTGCTTTTGTTGTCTGTGTTGTCTTTGGTGTCACATTCAAGAAATGGTTGCCCCATATACCAGAGACATTTTGCAGGGGTGGAGTGGGAAATGGGATCAAAAATGGGGGTGGGGGCGTGGGGAGGGAAATGCACGGGATTGTGGATGGTACATGGGTGACTTGGTGATGGGAAACCCGCGGGGATTACAATTGAGATGGGAAAAAAAAAATGTACAAAATGATGTAAAAATAAACTTTTGTTAAAAAAAAAAAAAGAAATGACTGCCAATCCACTGTTGTGAAGCTTTTGTCTTTGTTTTCTTTTAAGAGTTTTATTATTTTAGGGCTATTTTTAGGTCATTTTTGTATGTGGTGTTGGGAAAGGGCCAAACTTTATTCTTTTTATGTGGATATCTAGTCTTCCGAACATCATTTGTTGAAAAACTGTCTTTTCCCACATGGAATGGGTTTATTTCTAGACTTCCTATTTTATTCCCTTGATCATTATGTCCATTTTTATGCCAATACCATACTGTTGTGATTATTGTAGCTTTATAGTAAGTCTTGAATTCTCACAATCTGAGTTTCCAGCTTTGTTTTTCTCCTTCAATACTGTATTATCTTTTCTGGCCGTTTGCCCCTCCACATACACTTTAGGATCAATTTGCCAATAGCCACAAAACAACTCGCTTTGGATTTTGATGGGAACTGCAATGAATCTACAGATCAATTTGGAAAAAATTGGTATCTTGACAGTATTGAGACTTTCTATCTTTGAACATGGAAATTTTCTCCATTTATTTAGTTCTTTGACTTCTTTCATCACAATTTTGTAGTTTTCTTCATGTAGCTCTTGAATATATTATTGTTATACCTGAAAATTTCATTTGGGAGGGTTAATGGTTTAAGTTGCATTGTATTTTTTCATTGCCAACATTGGCAGGTGTTGCTTACTAATAGGGACACCTATTCTGAGAACTGCGTCTTCAGATAAATTCACCAGTGTGTGAACATTGATAGTCTACTTACATAGACATAGATGGTATAGCCTCCTTACACCCTAAAGCTGTATATAAGAAAAATTGTCATATGTGCAATCTGTCATAGATCAAGGGTTGTTATGTAGCCCATCACTATATATAGAAAATTGACTGACTTGTGTATTAATCTCATATCTTGCAACCTTACTATAATTGTTTGAAGTTCCAGGAATTTTGCATGTTGTTGTTCTTTTGGGTTCTCCTACACAGATGATCACATTATATATGTAAAAAAGACAGTTTTATTCCTATCCTCCCAATCTATCTTTCTTATCTTGTTTCTGGTCTTACCTGGAAAATTTTAAGTTCCTTACCACTAAGTATGATGTCCGCTGTTGGTTTTCTGTAGATATTGTTTATGAAGTTTGCCTCTATTTCTAGTTCACTGAGACCTTTTTTCATGAATGGGTGTTGGGTTTTTTTTGCCCATGCTTTTCTGCATCTATCAATATGATTAAGTGATTTTTCTACTTTGTTGTGATGGATTACATTGACTCTAAAATGTTGGTCCACATGGGTAAGGTGATGATGAGAGATTTGTGGGGATAACACGTGAGGGGAGAAATAAAATATTGTACAAAATGAACAACAATGTAAAAAAATGTTTTTAATTAGAATCAAATCTGCATTCCTGGGATAAATAGCACTTGCCTATGGCACATAGACTTCTTTTTATTCCTTCATGAGATTCTACTCTCAACTATTTTGTTGAGAATTTTTGCATCTATGTTTATAAGACCTGTGGTTTCCTTATAATGTCTTTAGTTTTGGTATTAAGGTAATGTTAGCCTCATTGAATGAGTTCAAGTGGTACATTTTATGCTAGTTTTACCATAAGGAAAGAAAAGGAAATGTCACTATGTAGCAAGAGAGATGGAGAGATAATTAAACTTTTATAGTATCCTTTTGTATGGCTGAGTTATGTTTTATATGTGATATTCTTATAATATTAAAATAATTTAAAAAGTAAAGCAAAAAAATCCTTATATTGTATCACAAAATCAACCACGGCTGACTAGATCCATCTTCTAATGTAGAAGATCTGGCAGAATGCTTGCATTCAATAAGGCCAACTCAATGCCGCATCCTTATTTGAGTTAGGAGTTAAAATCGGGAAAGGCAAAGTATAGAACTTCTTGTGCTTTGGGGACCTCAGAGGATGAGTCTATTGTATCTCAATTATTTTAAATTTAAGAGGGAATATTTTTTATAGTTTATTTTTACATCATTTGTACCTTTTTCCATCTCAGTTGTAATCCTGGTGGGCTTACCATCACCAAATCACTGGTGTGTCATTCCCTTCCCCCACCGTTTTTGATCCCATTCCCCATTCCACCCCCGTAAAATGTCTCTGGTATATAGTTGTTCATTATTATTGTTACTTTCTCACCTGGTCCGTTATACTCCTGCTATGAGTGAAACCATCCGGTATTTTCCCTTTTTTTTCTGACCTATTTATTTCACTAAGCATGATCTTTCCCAGCTCCATCCATGTTGCTGCAAAGGCATGCATTTTGTTGTTGTTGTTGCTGAGTAATATTCCATTGTGTATATGTACCACATCTTTTTAATCCAATCATCTACTTTTGGGCATTTGGGTTGTTTTCATGCCTTTCCAATTGTAAATAAAACAGCAATAAACATGGGGGTGCAGGTGTCCTTTTGAATCAGTGTTTTTGTGTCTTTTGGGTAGATACCTAGGAGTGGGATTGCTGGGTCATAGGGAAGCTCCATTTTTAGCAGTTTGAGAAACATCCAAAAGTTTTCCACAGTGGTTATACTAGTTTGCATTCCCACCAGCAGTGCAGGAAAGTTTCTTTCTCTCCACACTCTTGCCAACATTTGTTGTTGCTAGTTGTTTTAAGATGTGCCATTCTCACTGGTGTGAGGTGGTAGCTCATTGGGGTTTTAATTTGCCTCTCCTTATTACAAGTGATGTTGAACATTTTTTCACATGCTTGTTGGCCATCCGTATTTCCTCTTTGGAGAAGTGTCTTTTTAGCTTTTCTGCCCATTTTTTGATAGTGTTGTTTACTTTATTTTTGTTGAGTTTCATCAGTTCTTTGTATACCTTTGTGATCAATCCTTTATCGCTAGTTTTGTATGAGAAATTTTTTTCCCAATCAGTGAGATGTCTGTTTTTAGTAATGTCTCTTTTGCTGTACAGAAGCTCTTGAACTTGATGTAGTCCCATCTATTTATCCTTTCTACAAAGGGATATTTTGATTCAGAGTCTGAGGACCTGGGTGTCTGACCTAGAGAAGATGATCGGGTGTGACAAGATGAAGATAGAAAGAGAGCTAAGTGAAAAGGGGGAAAGTGGTCAGTCTCTCTTGAGCATGACAAAGTTGAGATTTCTTTAAAAAAAAAGATTTATTTATTTGTGCATACAGAACTGAAGTACAAGCCAGAGATGCAGGGGTGGTGAGAAGATTCACCAGAGACAGAGTGGGGAGCAGAACAAGGCAGATCGACGCTATGGCTAGCTGGCAGTGCTGTGTCCTAACCCAATGCACCACCACGGAGGTTCAAATTTGAGATTTCTATTGAATATCCAGCTGGAGATGGTCAGTAGGCAATTTAGATAGAGGTGAGGAGAGAGTTTGTAGCTTGTGTGGAGCCTCAACTCCACACAACATGGGCAGTAGAAGGAATCTGCAATGTGAAACAATGGCAAAGTAGGGCCCAGGGTGGTAGTCTGTGGATTAGCAGACATTCAGGGGCCAGGGAGAAAGGGCAATCACTGGAGGGAGAGAGTGAAAGTATCTTGACATCAAAGAGAAGAAAGTCACTTAACAGAGGAGCCACTTGCAAGGTGCATCCTACATAGACAGAAGTACAGCAAGAATTGGGAAGGGACCTCAGACTTGGCTACAAATTGGGCCCTGTTGGCCTTGACCTGAGCTTCCATGGGTGGAGGGGGGGGTCTTTTCCATGTCTCAGTTCATGAAACAGTGCCTGGTAAGTGGGTGCTTGGAAGTCGTTGTTGGATGAATGCATAAATGGATGGGTGGACAGATAGACAGAAAAACAATGGTCTGAGAAATCAGAGAAGACACTGAAAAAGATGGGGCTAAGCTGTATCTCAATGGATTGAGACAAAGGAGAAGGGGGTGTCTGTGTGCTTAGGGAGGAAACTTGCCTGACTATATCATGGAAAATTGTGGGGAAGAAAAACCCAGAGGTCCTAAAATAACAGTCAGGAGAAATCAGGTCGTCGGAGCCTGCTCAGTTTTCCATCTGCCACATCACATGAGAGTATGAGGCACTCAAGGACTTGCCAACTGTGTGCAGAGTTCACCATCAGCACTGAGGTTTGGGTAGTGCCCAGGACAGCCTTGGAAGGACACCACCGAGTGACTCCAAGGCATGGGTAGTCCCTGCCTCAGACACGTACTGGGCACAGGGACACCTCCAAGACATAGGCCTGGCTAGGGGTGCCCCGCCCTCTGGGGAACTGTACCCCTAGACTATACCCCAGCTTGCTGCAATTCTGTGCCCATTATACCATGCAGGTTCCTGCTCTGGCTCGGCCCACGGAGGACAGGCCCCAGGTGCTGGCCTGGTGGGTTTTGGTCCGAACCTCAGTCATGGCCTGTCTTCAGCAATGGCATCCAGCTCACCATCCTAGGTCAGTGACTCTCACCACTTCTCACCCTGTCTTGCACCTCTGCTGTCTTGGGAAAGTCAACTTTGCTCTTTCTGGGAATGGGTTCCTTCCTGCCCAGTCTTATGGACCAACCCACTACCTTTCTCTCTGGGGCCTGGGGGAGGCAGGCTGGTCTTGGGATAACCAGCAGGAAGGTCCCCAACAACAGGAGCAGCCACCTTCAGAGTCCCACATTCAGACACAGTCAGGTCCCAAGGCCTGGATTAGGGGTTTGGCTAATAATTGTGTGTGTGTTGGGGGTAGAGGGACTTCCTCCCCCTCTTCTAGAGCAGATGTCACACAGGGGCCAGAGGTCTGTTCAGACAGGGGGCACTGGGATGACTGTGGAGACAATCGTCAAGTATCCTAGACTTGGAACATGGGCTTAATGCCCACTCAGGCTGGGAGGCCCACCCAAGAGAACAAGACAGAGAACAGGACTGGGGCTGTGTCTTGGGGATAAAGGGCAGCCCAGGGTCAGCTAGTGAGAGCAAAGAAAGAGTGAGGCTTGCACTAGACTGAAGCTCTCGTGGCCTCTGTTGGGCTGTGAGGACACAAGAATCAGTGACATGGGTGAGATGGGGTGAGGTGACCAGAAGTCTAGCCCTCCCAGGACAGTGGTCAGAAAGGAGTCAGAGATTCATCTGCCCTGAAGCCCTGGGGTCCAGGTGTCTCACCTGTACAGTGGTTGTCTCTTGCCTTTCTCAAAGGGTGTGTTAGACTTAGAAGATAGCAAAGAGAGGTGAAGGGGGTGGTGGGCTCAGAGCTACATGACTGCCAGGTAAAATCAGGAGCTACCAGAGGTACTGGGTTGGTCATCAGGAGTCACTGCACCCATCATCTGCAGGAATCAGCCCCAAGATCACATCCAGTCAAAGGGTCCTGTAGTCAGGGTAGTAGGAATGAGAGAGATAAGTGGTGTCCCTGGTGTTTCATCTCCTGTCTCTGGAGACCTGAGGGCCTAAGCCAGGTGCCCCGCAGTGGGGGACAGGGGAGTGGCGGCAGGAGGCAGCTCAGGCTCCACTGTTGTGTGGGGCTCAAGCTCAGGGTCTCCCCACACAACATCAGGATGGCCTACTAAGGAAGGGACCCAGGTTCACAGAGGAGGCCCCTGAGGCACCTAAAATGAAGTGATGTGGGGCCTTGATGGCTGGGGCAGAGGGCTTGGGAGATCAGGGTCAAATCCAAACTCAGACTTTAGAGTCTTATTTCTCTATGGGGAAATTGAGCCTTCACAGGAAAGCATTTTACTAGGTCACCTGAGAGAGGTGGGGGCTATCTGTTCTCTAAGGGTTGGAGTGGACAGAGGATCCCAGGCCTTGGAAGAACAGTCATGGATGCTGTAGGTAGAGGGGCTGCCCGAATACTCTGGAATCTCCCCCTGCAAGTTTTATCACCTCCTCTCTCCATGCAGGCCAGCCCCACTCCAAACCCTTGGTCACTCTGTTCCCACCCTCCTCTGAAGAGCTCCGTGTCAACAAGGCCACACTGGTGTGTCTGATCAGTGATTTCTACCCCGGTGACTTAGCAGTCACCTGGAAGGCAGATGGCACCACCATCACCCAGGGTGTGGAGACCACCAAGCCCTTCCAGCAGAGCGACTACAAGTACACGGTCAGCAGCTACCTGAGCCTGTCACCCAGCAAGTGGACATCTCACAGCCAGTTCAGCTGCCAGGTCACACATGAAGGCAACACTGTGGAAAAGACCCTGGTTCCTGCACAGTGTCCTTATCCTTAGTTCCCTGAGCCTCACCTACCCATGGGGGCCAAAGTCACAGGAGCTCCAAGAGGATCTCCCCTCCCACCCAGTCAACCCCTTCCTGCTCCTTGCACCAAATTAACTCACAGTAAAATGTCTTTATTGTCAATAAGAAACCAGGCTCTCTGCTCTATTTTTTTGGGGGGGCGGGGAGGTTGGGGGCTCAAATTTAAGTTGCAATCTCTCCAGGCTTCTCAGGGTGAGTGGGGAAAACCTTGTCACCCACTAGGAAAATGTCCCAAGGGGAGAGGCTCACAGTCTCCTTGGTGGCATCTTTCAGGAAATTGGACAGGACCTGAGGAGTCTGATGACTGGAATATCAGTGCCTCTGCCCTGTCCTTCCTCCCACTCCTCCCCCAGAGCAGGGTCAGTCTACTCCCTTCTAGTTCCCTGGCTAGAGCCAGTCACAGCTGGAGGCCTCCAGGGTGTTCCCTGTGACCAGGACAAGACAGAGTCTACTTCTGGCCCTCAACCCCTGGAGTGTCCCGCTTCCACTTTGCCCAGCTTAGCTTTTGCCCACTTTCCCTGCCTCCCTGTCACTCTCAAGAGCTGACAACTCAGAGTCCAGAACACTCTATGTTGGTTTCATGGGTTCTTAAACTAGCAACCGCCTTGATTCCTTAGCTGACAGTAGGTTCAGACATGTGAAAGGGACAGGAGGAAGAGAGGAAGGAAACTCACACAAAAGATCTGACAGGAGACTTAGACACTTGTCAAAGACAAGCTGTGGATTCCCCAGGAACAAATGCAAGAAAGGAAATAGGTACTGCCTAAATTCTCTGAGATTAAACAAAGAATTTGCTGAAGGCAAATTGGTGTCTGAACACTGAAGCCAAACATATTGTACCACAATTGAAAGTGGGAATGTGTTTTCCCCAAGGCCTCGACTCTGACACACACATGCAGGTGACCACTGGGCAGTCTCAGGATATCGTGATGATCATGAGTTGCCCCTGCTTGGGAAGCCTTCAATGTTACTTTCTCTTTACCACCAAGTCACCTCCTGTGTCACTGGAGGAGGAATTGTCTGGGCATGTGCCCATGAGGTGAGGGATAATTTTAGGAATTTGCTATTTGAAATCTTTTCTTCTCTCTCTCTCTGCACACCAGTTAAATATATCTTAGAGCACCCTGAGAGTTTTCTTTCTTTCCCTTTGTGCATGCAAATGGCATGTACCCCTTAACAGTTTGGGCTCCCTGGATACCCCTTGGTTACACAAAATAGTGCCAGCAGCTGCCAGGACAGCCTCAGTGGGGATCACACACAGATAGATGGTCACCAGAAGGATTCCAGGGGCTCAGAGGAGCTTCTGGGTGTGAGTACCCAGTCTAGCCCATTACACCCTTTTCCCTTCCTGAGTGGTAGGCCATGCCAGCTCTGTTGGGGCTGAGAAACACTGCTCTTGTGCCAACCCAGGTTTGAGTGCCAGAGGTCCTGGGGCTCCAGTACTGTCCACTTCAGTAGCAGTGGCAGACATTTCACCACCTGCTGTCCCCCAGTACAATGACTGGCCCCAAAATGTACTGTCTGTGGGCAGTGCCCAGGATGCTTTAAAAGAGACTGGCAGAGGTAGCAGCAGTGATGCCCTCCAACTCCCCTGCACTGTCCCAGGGCATACAGACCCACCAGCTTTCCAAGACCAGAGGAAACTAGCCCTTGGTCTTCCACAGCAGAGGCCTGTGGAATCCTGGGCCAATATGGTAAGATCCCAGAGTTGCCCACCCTGCAGCAGCGCTGGGACTCCCCACCACACCCAGTCCCCACGGAGTGCACTGGGTGCAGTGTCTGGCCCCCTCTGAGCCTGGCTCCTGCTGTGGCTCCTGAGAGCCCACAAACTCACAACCTGCTCTAACCTCAATACAGGTCAGGTCTGGGCAGACAGGGTTTTTTCCCTTTTGTATCTGGTGCCAGGATCATAAATGGATCAATCAAGTTCAAGCTCTTTAGTTATCAGTCAAGGACTTGTGCTCATTATGCTGATTGAAAATTCACTGAACTGATCAGTGCATACAACACTGTATGTGATTTAGGGGTATAGGTTCACATCTCTTTAGATGTACATTACTACACCACACTCAACTCCAAAGCATCCATTTTTTTTAAGATTTATTTATTTATACATACAAAACTCAGGTACAGGCCAGAGGTTCAGGAGTGGCGAGAGGCTTCACCAGAGACAGAGTGGGGAGCAGAACAGGCAGATGGAGGAAGTACACTGCTGAGGGGAGCAGTGGGCAGGTCAGGAGAGATCTGCCATGTCATGTGGTCACCTCTGGGGCAGGCAAGAATCAAACTCATGCGGAAGTGGCTTTAGCTTCTCAGTGCTGTGCTTTAACCCGCTGCACCACCAGGGAGGGCCCATAATCTATTTTTTTTTTTACGAGCAGTTATAAGTTCACTGCAAAATGGAGCAGGAGGTACAGAGATTTCCCATATACCCCTGCCTCCACATGCCTCCACATATGCATATTATTATAAACTTCTCCCACTCAACTAGTTTATTTGTTACAATTGATGGCACATCATTATTACCCAGCATGGGAGCACATTCTGTGGGTCTGGACAAACTGTATGCATTTGTCATTATGCTATCATACAGAGTATTTTCACTGCCCTAAATATCCTCTCTATTCCATCTACTCACCGATTTATCTTCTTCATCTCTTGATTTGTTGATTTTTCAACAAGGGTTTTTTTTCCATTCAATGGAAAAAAGTCTCATCAACAAATGGTACTGGGACAAATGAATATCCACGTACAAAAAATGAAGTTGAACCCCTATCTCACACCATATATAAAAGCACAAAATGGATCAGAGAGCTAAATTTAAAAACTAAAACTACAAAAGCTTTAAAAGATATAGGGCAAATCTTCATAATCTTAGATTTGACAGTTGATTCTTAGAATTGATACCAAAAGCACAAGTATGAAAAGAAAAAAATAGATTTAAAAGTTTTATATATTGAAAGAGACTATCAAAAAAATCTGCACAATAGGAGAAAATATTTGCCGATCATGTATTCTGGATATGGGTCTAGTATCCAGAATACACCAGGAAATCTTACAATGCAACTTCAAAATGATAAGCAACCCAATTTAAAAATAATCCAAGGCCTGGGCCCTCCCTGGTGGCGCAGCAGGTTAAAGCACAGCATTGAGAATCTAAAGCCGCTTCCGCATGAGTTCGATTCCCGCCTGCCCCAGAGGTGACCACATGGTGTGGCAGACCTCTCCTGACCCGCCCGCTGCTCCCTGCAGCAGTGTACTTCGTAGATCTGCCTGTTCTGCTCCCCACTCTGTCTCTGGTGAAGTCTTTCGCCACCCTTGAGTCTCTGGCCTGCACCCCAGTTCTGTATGCACAAATAAATAAATCTTTTTTAAAAAAAAAATTGAGTCTTAAAAAAAAAGGAATGAGGTACTGATACATGACAGTGAACTGTAAAAACTTTAGGCTAAGCAAATAAAGTCAGAAAAAAGGTCACATGTTACAAATATCTATTTATATGAAATGTATAGGAGATAGGTAAATCCACAGACAGACAAGCAGAATTAGTGGCTAGTAGGGGCCACAAGAAGCGAAGGTGGGGGACTGACTGCTCAGTGGTTATAGGGTGATGAAAAATAGTTTGGAACTAGACAGATGAAAGTATTACAGCCATGGAACAGCTAGCTTTTAAATAGTTTACTTTATGTTATGGAAATTCTACTTCAGTTAAAAAAGTTTTCAACCTACTCTCTCCCCAGGGGACGTGAGGTTCACTAGTACTTGAGCTGTGCTTTAAAAAATACACCAAGGAACAATTGAGATGGAAAAAAAAATGTACAAAATGATGTAAAAATAAACTTTTGTAAAATTAAAAAAAAATACACCAAGACAGGCCTTCCTGGTGGTGAAGAGGCAGGTCTCAGCACTATGAAGCTGTCCACAGCCACTGCAGCATTAGATCCATCCCCAGCCAGGGAAGGACACACATGGCATGGCAGACCTCTCCTGTCTCAACCTCTGCTCCCCTCAGCAGTGTGTTTCAATCAATCCATCTGTTATGCTCCCCACTCTTTCTCTGGTGAATCCTCTCACCCCACCTCCATGCCTCTGACCTTACTCGGGCTCTTATATGCCGAAATAAAAATAAATAAATAAATTACAAAACAGATTTTAAAAAGAAAATAGTATGTAGACTTGGGTGTGAGTAGAATCAAAAGACCGACAAGAACTGATCCAGAAAAAAAGATCCAGGCCTGAAAGAGATTTCGCATCTGTTACAGCTCTGGCAGAGAGGTTGAGGTGTTCCTGATGCCCCTAACTCCAAACCCAATTAGAGTCAACAGCATATTGGTGAACTATACAGACACAGGTGTCACCTCAGCAAAAGGGAGGATCACATTTGGAGTTCCTTTTAAAATACAGGGTTTTTGGTCTTGATCTTTAGTTTACAAAAAATAATAATTGCGTACTCTAAATAACGGAGAAAGAACAGAAAAATAGGTGGAAAACTTTCCTCCTGTGAAGCTTCACCTAGAAGAGTCACTGCTTATATTTTGGTGTAGCTCCTTGTATTTTAATTATAAACTATAACAACAACAACAAACCTGTGAAGCTTAAAAGGGCTATTATGTACCACCTAAGAATCAGAATATGGTCACAACCTCGAGAACTCCTGAGTTTTTATTTATTACCTTTTCTTTTTCTTATAGTTTCATTTCTTCTGGGTGTGCTCTTAAATCCACTATTTTTCAGCTTCTCCTGTTTTTGTACAGATTGAGTCAGACTGTGGATGCTTTCTTTCTCTCAGCACTGCACCCCCAATAGCCACTCCTGCTGGTGAGAGCTCCCCATCACTGCTGACACAAAGGAACCACCAGCTTGCTGGGAGCCTGGAGGGTGGCAACACCAATGGCCCTGCCATTGTAATTTTGTTTTGTGGGGCTATGGGGGGAGGGGTGTGAGAGATCTTTTTGGTGGTCCCCACAGTTAGGA